ATTATAATTTAAAAAAATATATATATATATTTGATATATTTCGATCGTATTGATTGCGAGTAATCGATAATAATTTCGATAAAATACATTTTTGTAATAAATCAATAAGAAGGCCTTGTGTCAGGCCAATATCGTGACATTTAAAGAATCGATAGTATTATATCAAAAGTTGAAGCATTGGAAACAAGCTTTATCGATAAGATCGAAACTTTATAAAGAAAGAGGGAAATTTCTTTTTCTATCCAACACACAACGTCAAAGTTGCGTTACTCTAGGAAAAATGTCAGCCCAAGGTCAGCCACTTATCTAGCAACCGATAGAAAGCGTAAGTTGTTCCGTGTATCATGATGTAACGCTAGCGATTAGCGTAATTCTGTTTATTCATAGATACGAGACCACGCACGCGACATTGTTGGCATCACCCTACTAATGCACGAGAGCTTCTTCCATCATCGAATTATATTATTATATATACAGGGTGGACCAAATCAATGGGAAACACCTAAATATATTTTCTTTCTTTAGAATTATATTAAACAATTTCAAAGAAAAAAATTTATGCTATATTCAAGACGGTATTTATTGATAAACAAAATTTTTCCTAAACGTTGGTTTTTTTTTACGAGATTTCAAGGTCAATTTAGATTTTTTTTTTTCAACGGAATTATATATATATAAAGAAGAAATAATGTATATAAATTTATTATTAATAATAATAAATTATATATATAATTTATATACATTAATGTAATAATTACGTAATAATGTACGTAAATATATATATATAATTTATTATATAATTTATATACATTATTTCTTCTTTTTTTACAATAATAATTTATATACATTATTTCTTCTTTTTTTACAATAATAATTTATATACATTATTTGTTCTTTTTTTTCTTATTGCGTGATACATCTGTAATATTTAATTTTTGTATTTTTATATTAATTTCAAGCAGTTTTTTTTTCTTAAGAGGATTTACCCCTATTCATATACTAAACGTGGTCATCTTTGTTTGACTTTAATAATCATACGGAAATAAATTTTTTCAAACGTAATTATATCATTGATCGAGTATAGTACAGTTTACACGTTGTAGAAATAAAAAGAAATATTGTTAAATATATTTTAATTGTTATTCTGGGTATAATAGAAAATTGATATTAAATAATACCTATGAAAATGATTGATTTTTCAAGATTTGTCTAACCAACGAGATGGCTATTATTTCGTAATAATAATAATAATAATGATAATAAGAAGAAGAAGAAGAAAAAAAAATAATAATAATAATGAAAGGAAAGGAAAGGAAAGGAAAGGAAAGGAAAGGAAAATTTCAACGAGTATAAAATATTCTAGAAAAGCGATGGGATCAGCAGCTGAATATAACAAAGCCAGCAGTAACTAGCATTGTTCGTAGAAAAGTGGTTAGAGGCGATAAGTATGACGCCCGAGACAGTTAGATCAGTTTGCCTATCGATAATGTTCAACGTCCAGCACACGGACCTGTCGTTACGATCGGCAGAACGATCGGTTACGTGTTTATTCATGCTACGTTCTCTGGCATATGTCACTGTCACTTTCGTAGATTGTCCTTTGGTATATGCTTAATTTGTATATATGTAACACAAACGAAAAAACCAGTTTCGTCGAGTTTTCAATGATTTGTACGCGATCACGTTCAAGAAAAAAAAAATAAACAAATGAACAAAAATATTGAACATCATTTCTTCGGAAATTCTTCGTGTCAATATCGTTGACTTATTATCAGAAATAATGAAGCTTTTGAAACATAGATACTCAATTATTTTTCCTTAATCAARCTACAKTTTTATATTAGTTATTTATTTTTCGAATAAAAATACTTATACGAATAAGTACTTGTGTTAGATTCCGTTCTTGGTTCTAATAAATAGCATTTTTATAATTAAATTAATAATAATAGATTATTTTTAGTATAAAATAAATCAATAGCACGTTGAATGATTTCCGAATAACAMATAAAAATTATTCAATTGTGTTATATATATAACACAAACAAAAAACCAATTTTATCGAGTTTTCAATGATTTGCAAATTTAGGATGTACGCGATCTCGTTCGGGAAAAAAAAAACAAACAAATGAACAAAAATATTGAAAACCATTTCTTCGCAAATTCTTCGTGTCAATATCGTTTACTTATTATCAGAAATAATGAATCTTTTGAAACATAGATACTCAATTATTTTTCCTTAATCAAGCTACACTTTTATATTAGTTATTTATTTTTCGAATAAAAATACTTATACGAATATGTCGTTCTTGGTTCAAATAAATATCATTTTAATAATAATAATAATAATAATAATAGATTATTTTTATTATAAAATAAATGAATAGCACGTTGAATGATATCCGAATAACAAATAAATGAATCCTTCATCAACGTGGTTGGTCTTTTCTTTAGATCAGTATGAACAAGCATGTTTATTTTGAAATTGAAGTTTAGAAGAATTGCTTGTTTGAAACCGTCTACATATTAGACATATCGTACCGTTCATTATTACAAGGTGATTTATTTTTGAAATATGTTAAGCAAAAATCATGTTATCCATTGCTACGGAAGTACAGTGTCGTAGAAAAAAGGTTTGTTCCAATGTTCTTATCGCGTTAAAGCCGAAACCGTGTTATAAAATGGTATAACGAAAGAATATATTAAACGATATTCGAATTAGTAAATTAGTAAAAATTTAATTAACATGTTCGCAAACAAAAAACTTTCTAGCTAGGAGAAAAAAAGTGACAATCATTTTATTTTTAAATAAATTGTGATGTCCAAAATTTGATTAAACACATTCTATAAAGGCGAGTCAGATTATCATATATTAAAGAATCATTTAGTCATTACCTGTACAGGTATACTAATAAAAAAAATTTAATGTTACATATAAAATAAAATTCAAAATAAAAATGAACAATTCGAATGCTATAGCATTTACGTCATTCACATCACAATGAAAATGAATGCCATAGTAACGAAGCCTATATACAAGGAGGATGATCGCAGTGTTATAAATATGTCTACGATATACACAATGAGCGGATGATTTCTATTGCCACTAGAGAGCGCGTCGATTCACTTGATCTGATTTTTCAAATATGAAAAAAACTAACCTATAACTTAGGAAAAAAATAGATAAATAAGTCGACGAAGTAAATATAAAATGATAAACTAAAGAAAATGGAATAATTGGTTATGATATCACAAAGTCAAGAAAAAATAACAATAGTATGAAAAAAATGTCCTATATATCTGTAAAAAAAATTGTGAAATGGAATCAATTTATTTTTAACTCATAATTAGTATAAAAATGAATAATACTGCATGTCAAATGTAATTGCCAGTTACCTTAAGGGGTTACATGGGTTTGGGACTTTCATAAAAATTTTTATTTTTTTTATTTTTTTTTTTCAATTCTACAACTCATCTAAAATATTGTATTCAGTTTTGAAGTCGATAAGAGTAGTAGTTTTAAAGATAGAGCCCTGGGAAATTTCACTCTTTAATGACTCTTATACCAGCACTCAAATCTTTAAACGCGTTTTTCTCAAAACGCTTTTTCTAAAGTCGGTTGTCAAGATTTATCGAAAACTATTTAACCGATTTTGATGAAATTTGCTACACGTCTTCGTGATACTATTGACAAGGACTTGGACGAAGGATTTTCGTTTTTTTCATAAAATCAAATTTTAAGAAACCAAAATGTGGTGAAAATTGTAGCGAAATTTGAATGTTCTTGCTAAAAACGTTGCCAAAACTCCAAATTTTAATTTTTTTCTTTTTCCTTCGTCCAGTTTCTAGTTTTAAGTATTCACTAAAAGACCCTATTTTTTCAACAGAAAAACCCCCACCGTTTATAAGTTCTGCTGTCAACGCGAAAACACTTTTTTTCGGTGGGGTCACCGGAAATGACGTCGCAATGGCTGAGTTTAAAATATTTTTCAATCAAAAATTCAGAAAATGTTCTTTAAATATGTATCTTAAATACTATAAAAAGTTTGAATAAGAATTCCATTTTTTATATGGAAAAAAAAATTGTTGAAAATATGCTATTTTTCCCCGGTATAAACCCACGTAACCCCTTAAACAGTAAACCACAAAATCAACAATATAAAATAACCTGTTGAGCTATAAGAAAATAAATTCTAATCCTTGAATTAATCCTTAATTAAATTAAGTCTTCGTGAATAAAACAAAACATTAAATAGAGAACTATTTATTTCATTTGTTTATTTATAAAATCACACGTATTTAAATCTGAACTACCGAACACTAGCGCCGCCCTCGTGGAGAATAATCCTACTTGGTATTTAATTATTTTCAACAACACAAATTCGACGAAAATGCGTATTTTGATCTATACAGAGCTTCGTTGCTATATCATTCACGTCCGCGAACAAATTAAATAACAATAACAATAACAGTAAAGTAGAAAAAAAAATGAAAAGAGCAAACTTACCGACAGAGAGAGAGAGAGAGAGAGAGAGAAAATTGATGAAAATTTTGCTTGATGTTTAGAAGTTCCTGTTCTACGGTCTATTTTGGCGAGATAGGCACGGGCTCGGGGGTGGGAGATTTAACGGGGGTCGGGACTGGGAGTGCCGACGAGATTACCCCGACTCCAACCCCCGGCAACGGTAGCGGTAGTGGTAACAACGTCATCACCCCCAGAATAACGAACGGCACCATAATAACTAGCACCACTACAAGCATTACTATAACTACAACTGCAACCCTTAGTACTACTATTACTACTACCACCGATAGTACTACACCGGAAGAAGATATCGTTGGTACGACAACCGTTAATACAACAATCACATCCACGAAGAACAACAATAACAATAATAATAATAATAACAACAACAACAACAACAAGTCCAATATCGCAACTAGCACCACTACCCCTACCGATACCACCCCGCAAGTTGCAACGGGGGCTGAACCGCCCCGGCACATGGAGACATCCCCGACGATGGTTCCAGACCAGGCACCCGCCTCCGGACATCATTATCATAATCATTATCATCATCATCATCATCATCAACATCATCGTGGATCATCAAACAGTACGCCAACTCGTAACACCTCCAATAATTGTCCACCTAGTAGCACAGACACGTCCGAGGATTTTCTTCCTGTTTCCAAGAAGAGAAAACTTTCTTGCCAGTAAGTAATCTTATTATTATTATTATTATTATTGTTGTTAGTCCTTTTTTTTCTTCAATATTTATCGTAGATCGTTATCTATTAGATTGGTGCACGTGAAATGTCAGATTTTTAACACTAAATATACTTATTTCTACTAAAACCAATCATATTCACTGGTTTTTAAAATAATGAGCTTAATCAGGTAAAAATAGTAATAGCAAAAAATATATTTTTGTTACGAATATATATATAAAATTATTTAAAGTTCATCAAACTGATTCTTTAGTTATAGTTATAAAAATGATATCATTACGGAAAAAAAATGTTACACGCAGTAGGAATTTGAAATTGAAATTGCAAGTAATATCTAGTGTCAAATATTAACTTAAATCTAGTGTTAAATCTAATGTTAAATGAATATAGAAAACTATATATATTTTTGTTTGTTCAAAAATAACCTGTTTATTTATTCCAAATAAATTCTATTAGCTTCGATACACTTTTCCTAACGAGATTTGAATCCATAGATGCCTGTCTTCAAACAAAATTCTGAATCTTTTTTCAGAACTGTGATATGAAATTTTTCAGATTGTTCTTCATTTTCAAATTGTTTAGCCCGTAAAAACTATTCTAAATATTTACAAAAATGAAAGTTAATAAACGAAAGAGCCGGTGAATAATAGCTGGCTGCTACCAAATTTCATATTTTAATTCATTTGAAAAAATCGGGTTAATAATGATCAGAATACAGCTAATTTCATTCGGTTAGTTAATTATCTATTTTTTTCACCTTGTCAATTTCAGAAAGGTGTCACAATGATTTTGTATGGTCAACTTCATTCATTCTGATAGCAAGTTCCTTTGTAGATAAAGTTGAATTCTTTTTCACCAATTCTTTCAGAGCTTCATTTTACACAAACATTTTGGATCTTTCACAGGGTTCATTTCGTAGGGAAAATTCATCAGATCGAAATTTTTCGAACCAACGTTACACTTTTCGATCATTAACAATATTTTCCCTAAATCCCTCGTTTACATTGTGTGCAGCAACCTTTTGCAGCATTATTATCAAGTTTATACTAATATAAACAAAATTACACGAACATTGCTTCAATTCATTTTTTTTTATGGAATGGATAGTTGACATTTTTTCTATCTTCATGAAATTTTATCTATTTTCAAAATATGAATTTCCTAAATTTCTCAATCCCATGTAAAGTTTAAAAAAAAAAACTTTCTTTTTTATGCACCTCAGAAGTTTTGAGAGTTTTTCTCATCATAGGAGTATAGGTGTAAGCATGAAAAATTTACTTTCGTTAACGGTCGGGTCAGTTCGTGCATCTTCGTTGATTTACGTGGTTATTCGACTGAATTCGGTATAATTCGTTACTTTTAAATTTAATCCGTTACAAGTGCAATTAATGTACATGTATACAAACAAAAAATGTGATAATAACTGAAAATAATTATTAAATAATTTAAAAAAAAAAAATTATTTAGAGGTTATGTGAACGCGGGAAATATTTAACGCATGCGCACAGAACGTGAGCAAATCTCTCATCACGAGAATAAAGACTACCGAAAAGTTTACGAGAATGCTGATGGGTTAAAAAGATTACAAAATTGAACACTGCTTGAGAAAATCATTTTTTGTAGAAATGTGAGAGACAACAAACGTTAATATGTCAAGAAAATCCGACATTTCATATATATGCACACCAATTTAATATTTTAATACTCGTATTTATCTTATCGAATAACTTCATTTTACTTTATTTTACGTAAATAATCTTATAACGATCATGAGTTAGTATCTGTATATATATATATATATATATATATATATTACCGTGAAAGACCGAAATTGATGAATGTTGAAATTAAAATGGTCGCTTGTTGAATATTTAGATTTATTTTTATAAATTAATATTTTGAACATATACCAATAAAGCAGCCATGTTAATTTGAACATTCATCAATTTTAGTCTTCCACGATAAACATATACATTATACATATACATATATACACATATATACACATATATACACATATATAAACATATAATTTACATAACCCTCTGTGACTCGTTTTATATATGTTAAAACCAACAAATAATTATCATTAATCGCAAACTGACAATAATTTAAACATTTTCAAATATATTACATTTATTCCGAGATATTACTAGAGCAAAACTTGATAATCCTTAGAAAAATCTTCGATCGATTTCTTAATAGTTATTATTATTACAAAAAAAAGAAAAAAATACGCGAACGTCATATTAGAGAAAACAATTTATTTAAACAGAAAATATTCTTCATATCGAAATAAAACTTCAAGGTTATTCAAGATTATAACATTATACTCCGTCATACTGCGGTTAAAATGTTGTTACGCCGTTGTACGAAATAAAATTATAAGAAATCACGTCGTATTATACATAATTAATCTTTGAAAGGATTTTTTTATTTTTCTTCTAACATTTTTTTTTGTCAAGATCATTACAAAAATTACTTCGCGAGAATATACGTATTATAGATATAAAACAAATAATAATAATAAAAAAAAAAAGAAATTTATTCTTTTCCGCAAACTATTTCTTGATAACATAAAATAGCGTTTAGAAATAAATAGACAAAAACAAACAAAAAACTAAAAACGAAACAATTACGGAAGAGAACAAAATTACATAGCGATGAATATAACGATACACACACACACACACACACACAAAATGGTCAATTAAAATTAAATTTGATTTTTAAATTGCAAAAATTCTCGCATTTGATTATAAATAACACGTATCGTACAGAAGGAATCGTGTTATTTGAAAACAGTATTTGTAATATGTTTGACGCGTTATACCGAAGGATCTACTATATATATATATACATATATATTTATTAGTATAGAAATGTTACAGAAACCAAAGGGAAACCATGAAACGTTCGACACCTATCAAGTCTGGAATCTGGGACTTGCAAACACCATTCCCTCCTTTCTTCTTCCTTCCCTTGCGTCCTTACGATTTCCAGAAACTGCACTCTTGATGTTTCATCTTAAACCCTATACCATTGAAATTAATTGCTAATCAATCAATAAGAAATAGTTTAGTCAATATTTTGATTGAATGATATATACACGTGTCTTTTTCATTCAAAAATTAATTATTGTATTTGTTATTATTTAATTATTATATATACACCAAAATATTAATCTCTATATTTATTATTTGTTTCAAATTTAATTCAAAGACATAAATTAATCACAAAATTAAATTTCCAATGCACTCGTGTAAAATCATATTAG